TATATATATATATATATATATATATATATATAAATATAAATATATATATATATACATATATATATAAATATAAATATATATATATATACATTTATATGTATATGTTTACATACATACGTTGATATAGGTGTATCCATGTATTTGTGTTATTCTATGAATGTATGGACACTTGAAAATATACACCTGTGTAGTATTTCAATGGTTATTTGCACAAAACGTATATATGTTAACTGTATTGTGCTTCACCTTTGTTATTTTCCCACATCGGAATGCGTAGATTACTTAGTACGACACATCAAATATTAACTGCATATTGTACCTGCATTAGGATTTGAGCTGAGTCCCTTCGTAAGATTTCGGTTTGGCTCTTTCACTGGTGTCTCGCTTTGCCTTCGATTCAGCTTTTGAGCTGTACTGCTGCCAGTCGCGACACTAACACCTGATACTGGCTTTGCTACACATGCTAGAGCTACTATGAGTATCAGTATGTGTGCAAGGAGGCCATTCCAAGACTTCCGTCGGCCTTTCGATATATTTGAGTAAAGGTTTATCGGCTTGTGTTTATTTACACGGGTATTTAAGCAGTTCCGCCTACTGGTACTCCACCCCATTCTAGCCTATGTATATACTGGGTTTCGTCTCAGTGCGACAGATAGCCCGAGGAGGGGTTCTTTTTAGGTATATATATTCTTTTGCTTCTGTGCTAGCGTGTGGTCTATGTTCATATCCTAAGTATATGACGCAGACACACTAGCAATGGATTTGGGCCGGTTATCTACATTTATATTTAGTTAGGTATGTACATTACACGCCCGTAGCCCGTCGCACGCGTGTGATTGGTGATTTCAAGCTGCACTGCGCGTTCCCTCTGAACGAAAGTATCCAAGACAAAGACACAATCAGGTATTAGATAAACATTTTTACCAAATCGAGATCACACTTGAACATACAGGGCTGGATGTGCGACTATTGAAGCTATGCATGTATTATGATTCTACAGATGGATTGCTATGAACTGGCCGGGCATTCAGCTAGTTGTTTCAATTTCAGGAGGATATGTGTGCGTTGTAGATATGTACTATAATATCGGGCAAAGAATTTCCAAATTTTCTTTCTGTCAGAAGTTGAACTCGAAAACCTTTGGGGGTTTTTTAAAATAATATTTTCTAAAAAAAAGACAATTAATACCGTACTTATTGAGTATTTAAAAATACTGTCTATTTACACTAAAAGTATAAAAATATTTTAAAAAAGCCCTTATTTATTTAAAAATAAAGAAGTGAGCTGTGTTTGTGTATTTTGATTTGTTATTTATACAAAATAAAATGTAAATACATACATACTGTACTAAATACTGTATTTAGTCTGTAGGACGTAGGTGCTTTTGTTTTATTGACCAAAAAAATGATGCTACAAAAGTTTATTGTACCGAACTTAACTTGTTTTTAAATACTTGTTTTTAAAAAAAAAGCAAAAATATTATTCACGGATTTAGATTTTAGAATTTAGACTTTTGTTAGTGATGATAGAAAGCATTTGTTCTTAAAAAATTCGCAAAACGATGAAGCCATTAAGTAATTTTTTAATATAGTTTTAAAATATACCAATAGTGTGTAGCGATGTTGAAAGAGCTGTAGCACAAAGAATCGTTATCCTAAAATCAACATTCCTGAGTTTTGAAATGGGACTTCAGACTCCTCCTTCAAAAAGAGTATTGTTTGAGGGTTTTTTTGAAAAAACAAAACAATAAATACTAATTGCACAAAACTACTGTAAATAGGTCGTATATTATCAACCAATAAAATCACGATATTCGGCTAACAGTAGCAGATGTTCAGAACCCATTGTGGTTCTGGTTCTGGTTCTGAGAAACTGAGACTGAGTCACTGAGAGTTAACGGTTTCTAAGTGGCTTAAGGTTCTCTGCCGGGAAGGTCAATAAAAGACATAAACCGAAAATTCAAATTCAAAATTCAAATCGCAAATACATTGAGTTCTAGTCGGGAGTAAAATACAGTATACTAAACTTTGAGCGATTTGATTGACTTTAAAAAACAAATCGGAACTCGGAACTTGGACCTACACATCATAAATATTTTTTAACCGACAATTTGACTTTCTAAAGGCTAAATAGTTAAAATACCGCCTGAATAATATTCACACCAAAATAAAAATGTCCATGCACATATGTAAATACTGTACATATCCAGATTCCCAGGTCTCCAGGCCTCCATGAGTCCAGGGCCCACTGTCTCCGTCCTCCAGTGTACCGGCTGACTCCGCCGGCCGAGACTGGGTGCAAGACTGCAGCGTGACTGGGTTTCGGACAATAAAGGCCTAACCCCTAAAAATCTTAAATCTGCCCTTCCCTCTCAGGCTCACAGAATGGGCTCCTTCTGGTTGGTCAGTGGTCACTGGAGGGACTTCTTTTTCAGTTTTTCTCTCTCATTTCCAGTCTTCCTCCTGGTCTTCCAGAATCCAGACTCGCAGTGTCGCGGTGACTCCAGTTCCGGCCACTCGAATCTCGCGTCATGCTGGATTCCTGTGGGACTCTTGTCACTCTCGCAGTCATGGCCGTCTGGCGACTGGCGTCGGAAATAGGAATCACATTTTGTTAAATAAAATAAAAAGCAAAAAAAACAAATAACTTGTGAAACATAACTCCCCGGTCCCGGAGTACCCGCAGAAGGGCGGGGATGAATCAAAATTCTGAACGCTAAACGGAAGCAATAGCTATAGAAGATCCTAAAGTGGTGAACCAATGTGATAAAGTTCAATTGTGTGATACACAAGTCCGTGAGCATCTCAGTGTATCAAATTAAATCAGACACGGAGTGCGATCAAAGACATATATGATATCGGTCGACAACAGGTTATGTATAACTTGCTTCGGAGTTTATCGCAAGTATTCTCGCCCCCTGTGAATATACTTTGCCATTCATCCAACTTGAAATAGAAGTAGGCCTTAGTTTAGTAAAGTGTTATTTAAAAATGTATCATCAGCAAATTTCCTACTCATTGTAGGAATTGTTGATAAACGGTCGGCGCAAACGGACAATAGCTGTTGTTTTGAATAACAACAATGACTCTTCTACGGATTTGTAGGAATGCCATTTTTTTCGGAGCTTGTGATGTTCCGGTTGAGTTCTAATTTATCTGGCATTAGCTTTGTTTATATGGTAGTAGCGCACGATACTATGAGTTCCGAGCTTAATGTTCGTATTGGTGTCTAATACTAATACTACATCTTGTGTGCTCAGAAGCATGTCTTCTTACCAGGGATAGCAGCCAAAGTTGCCTATGTTTGGTCTTTATAGTCTTGTATAATCGATTGTAAGCCCGTTACAAAGTATTCATTAAAAAAAAATGAACGGTACAGTATTGATAATCTGAGATAGGTCAAGTATGAGGAGGTAAATGCTAATGTTTATTGTAAATAGTAGTCTTGTGTTGTGAAAAGTTGATATATATATATTTTTTTAAATTTATAAATATGTGTTTTATTTTTTTAGTATTTTATACAAGGTTCAAAACTTCAAACCAGAGTGTGTATATTTATGTAATTTATTTATAAAAATAGAAACGACAAACAGAACAAAAAACTCTCCAGATACCGAGTATTTATATGTATTTATTTAAAACCGTCTGGAGTTCTGGACCCAGTGGACCGAGAGTCCAAGACTCTCGGACTCTCCAAAGTCCTGTCCAAACAATTTTTGAGGCCTTGAGCCCTGAGCGCTGAGCCTGAGAGGGCTGAAACGGTGAAAATCTGTGAGTGCTGAGAGCCTGAGAGTCTGCTGAGTGGGTGCTATTTAATGTAAATACATATGTACACTTTCTCTGTCTCTCCTCGTGTATTTAGTAAATAAACATGTGTACATGTAAATACTTCAATTTCTGAGCGGCCCTAAAAAGTAAAAATCGGGGCGAAAAGTAGGTGAAAACGGTCTGTTCATACTGGCCAGAAACGTACCTCTATTTTAATTGTTTACCTGCGGCTCAGGCTACTGGTCCATAGCCAAGCGTTCCCATTGGTAAAAAAGAAAGAAGCGACTGAGTAACTGATGTCTGAGCTAATCTCATTACGTTATGGGTTTACGGAATAGAAGTTAAACGTAAACGCATATTTATTCAATTTTAAAACGTTATAACGGTTATAATGTGATCAGAAGGGCCTAATTGTTATTTTTATAATACTAGTTCATATCATAAAATAGATACACGCTTAAACCCGAAATGTGCATCTATGAGCATATAAGGGACCACAAAGGGAATAAAAGTAAAACGGAAACATATATTTATTCAAATTAAAAAGTTTTAACGGAAAACGGTTTGAGTTTAGCGTCAGAGTCTGACTGCGTGCTGACGCCTGACATCTTAAAAAAAAATAGTAAATATCGCTATGTGTACATACTTGGAAATAAACAAAACCACGTGATTTATTTTTCATCGTGGGTCTCTGGTATTTAGGTCTATAATTGTAGTATATACAGCTGGTATTCGCAAACTGTATCCATATAGGTGAATTCTAATAACATACCACTGTCAAGTATCTGCACTATGAGCGCTCCATCATTCATGGCTTCACTGTTAGCCGGTGGTATCGCCGGCACTTCAGTAGATCTGGCTCTATTCCCTCTGGACACGATCAAGACCCGTTTACAGTCAGAGGCAGGCTTCACAAAATCGGGTGGTTTCCAAGGTAAATGGACTTTCAGGTTATAAGGACATATTCATATTGTTTTCAGTAATATACATGCATACACAAACACACACACACACACATAAAAAAAAAAACACACACACACACACACACACACACACACACACACACACACAC